TATAGAATGTAAACAAAATCTACCAATAGAATACATTAAAATCAACCCAAATAAAATCATTTAATCACTTTAACTTTATATAAATTATAAATGATCTAAACAATTGAAAAACTCTTGAGAAAATAGGAAATAGCAGAAATTCAAAAAGTTATAACATAACGATGAAAACATTTTTAGTGTTACCATCAAGCAATACCTTAAAAGGATCTTACTTAATTATTTGTAAAAAAAAAAAAAATATATATATATATATATATATATATATAAGACTCACCTGTTGAGGTCATGTGCACCTGGTTAAAGTATCTAGCTTTTTATTAATTGCTTTATATTTAAGTAAAATATAAGAAAATATCATTTAAATTAGATGCTGTCATGTAGCAGTTATTATTAGTTACATTTATTTAAGGTTTATCTTTGCTATTTTCTAATGTTGTAAATGTCCAGCAGTTTTACTCACTGCCTTTTATTAAAATATTAATAAATAAATACATTATTTTATAATATAGAATGTAAACAAAATCTACCAATAGAATACATTAAAATCATTTAATCACTTTAACTTTATATAAATTATAAATGATTTAAACAATTGAAAAACTCTTGAGAAAATAGGAAATAGCAGAAATTCAAAAAGTTATAACATAACGATGAAAACATTTTTAGCGTTACCATCAAGCAATACCTTAAAAGGATCTTACTTAATTATTTGTAAAAAAAAAAAAAATATATATATATATATATATATATATATACACTGAAAAAATGTTGGGTTCACTTAGAAACAATTTTCACTTAGAAATTGGAAGTAAATGTCACAAATAGCTAGATATAGAAACTAACAAACTGAATTAACTGTGAAACAAAAACTGAAAGCAACTGAAAGTGACAAAGACTGAAAGCGTAGAGTGTAAGCTTACAAATGCATGCAATATATGACTAAAATCAAAATATCCACTTGATATTTGTAAGAATTTGTTGTTGATTTTAACATTGAGATCTGTTTAATGCAATAAAGCATTGCTTTCCAAATCCTAACAATGTAGGTTTGAAATCAAAAGACTGCAAACCACTGAAAGAAAATCACTTACTGCATCGCTGCAGTCTTTTAAAGGCTCTGTTCTGAATGGAAATGAGCCATGAGGAATTTATTATGATTACAAATCTTAGTAAAAGCTTATATATCATTCTCCAGTGGGCTGCCTGTTGGGTTTCATAGTACTTAATGCACCAAACAGGGGCCAAGAATACATCGCAAATACACGGCTCTTGAGATTTGAACGTTGGTGGCAGGTTTGAGAGATTGCAGAGTGTTTTGGCAGCAGGTCTGTTCCAGCATGTGTTTAATCGGCAGGGCTTTGTGGGGTGATGACACCGAGGGTGGAGTCTTTTTGACAGACTGACACAAATGCATTGTGGATTACACTGAAGGTTTGTTCACAGCATTTGTTTGGCCTGCACTGACCCAGCATGTTCCAGAATTAACATGCAGGAGCCATATTGTTGGTAACCTCATTTGTAATTCCGTGAAACATGAGACTTATCAGTTCTGCTCATGTTAAGAGATGACTGACAGATGTTTTCCTTCGAATTTGCTATACATATGTTCATGTACAAGTTGGAACAGAAGCAAAATAACATGCATGTCAAATCAAGTGTTTCTAACAGCGTGATTAGAGTGTGTTGTTGTTTTAACAGTCATTTGACAAAAGATAAGCTTCTGATGTCACGTTTGGGTTACATAATCACAGAACCAATGATGTAATTCATTAAAGGGCCCTGTTTTAGTGATCATCCATACTGTTCAGCGTTTCTGCGCATCACTTTTAAAGGCCACATGAGGGCAGCAACTGTAAACTCATCACTTGTGGTAGGAACTATTTTATTGACTTCTTAAATTACAGTGTAAATAAATATTAATATATATATCACATTAAACCGATGGGATGCAGATAAGACAAGGTTTCTGTATTTACATCAAAATATAAACCTGTATATAAATTAAACACACATTATACTTTATTTTAGCATATTTTTCTCATGTAATAAGTTGGGAGAAAATCGTATGTGTATCATTAGATCCGTGCGTGAGGTCTTAAAGGAATAGTTCACCCTAAAATGAAAATGTGTTGATAATTTACTCAACCTCAGGCCATTCAAATGTAGATGAGTTTGTTTCTTCATTAGAACAGATTTGGATAAATTTAGCATTACATCACTTGCTCACCAGTGGAGTGGATGGGTGCCGTCAGGATGAGAGTCCAAACAGCTGATAAAAACATCACAAAAATCTACAAGTAATCCACACGACTCCAGTACATCAGTTAATGTCTTGTAAAGTGAAAAGCTGTGTGTTTGTAAGAAACAAATCCATCAAGATGTTTTAACTTTAATCTGTTCCATTTAGTGAGCCCATAATCCATAATAACACTTCCTCCTTTGAAAAAGTCGATCCCCTGTTGTCCTCTCACATCAAAATCCATTGACATATTTGTTTTGATAAATTTTGGACTGTTTTTGCCTTTAAAAGGTGCTTGATCTTTGCATATTTCGCTCCTGATTCAGACAAGACAACTTTTTCCACTGGCAGTGTTATTAGTTAAAGGGGTCCTATTATGCTTTTTCACTTTTTCAACTTTAGTTAGTCTGTAATGTTGCTGTTTGAGCATAAAAAAGATCTGCAAAGTTACAAAGCTCAAAGTCCAATTCAAAAGGAGATATTTTATTTAACAGAAATCACTTTTCAAAAACTACAATGAACGACTCGTTTGGACTACAACGCATATTTTCCGGGATTTGTGATATCACAGAGATCGACGAATGGGACGAGACCCGGTTGAGCTGCACTAGAGAAGGCAACGAGTGTTAGCACTATGTTGGAGACACGCTAGCTTTCCCAAGGCAGACGAACTTAGAGTGGTTACAATCATCCGGGTTTAAATCGCGCTCAAATTGATTTGATTTTGCCGCAATATTTACACTGAAGCTGCAGCAGGTGGCTATGGTAAGGGGCGTGACATTTCCCGACCAGGCACCGAGTGCTGCCAATCACAACACACACTGGCCCAGCTAACCAATCACAGCACATTTCATATTTCAGAAGGCGGGTCTTTATTTGATACAGGAACTATTCGAGCCGTTCATGCCAGACTGGGGAGAGAGGTGTAAAATATGTGAAAAATACAACCTAGTATGAGAGCCTGTTCTAGGACACCCCCAAAACAAAATCAAGACATTGTAAAAGAGCATAATAGGACCCCTTTAAATGTTAGTTAAAAACGTATTAAAGATGAATTGGTTTCTTACAAACACGCAGCTTTTCTCTTCACAAGATGTTAATTGATGGGCTACATTCGTGTTGATTCATTGTGATATTTTTATCAGCTGTTTGGACTCTCATTCTGACGGCACCCATTCACTGCAGAGGATCCACTGGTGAGCATGTGATGTAATGCTAAATTTCTCCAAATCTGTTCCGATGAAGAAACAAACTCATTTTCATCTTGAAATGACCTGAGGGTGAGATAATTTTCAGCAAAATTTTGGGTGAACTGTTACTTTAAAATGTCAGCAGCCTAATAAACCTTCTGCCGTCTGTGTCAATAAAGTTAATCAAACAACAAAGGAAAAAAAAAAAAAAAACTCTACAAAAGTTATGCTCTTGACGGAATAACTTGTATTTTGAATAAGAATCCATTTATATTTATTTTTACATTTGATTATTCAATTTCAGTGATATCTTACTGCATGTTAAATAAACCTACTGCACCTGAAAAGCGTAATTTGTATATTTGTTCTATTGTATTTGTCCTATGTTTGTAATTTGCTTCTTTGTCCTTATTTTCAATAGCAAAAATAAAATAACAAAAATAGCTATATATTGGTATATGTCATTACCATGAAGTGAAATAAGATTTTGGTCGTATCGCCCACTCCTAACACGCATCAAGTGATGCATCAAAATGCATGCATGCATAACAGAAATAACAGTCCTTCTGATGTGGGTGTTAGTCAGTAAGCCAGGGGTTAGACTGTGACGCTTGCATGGCTTGTGCAGGGTTGCGGGTGGCTGACATGCCTGGTGGTGTAAGTGAACAATCTCACCTGCGCTCTGGGATAAAGCCTAGTTAAAAACGTATTAAAGATGAATTGGTTTCTTACAAACACGCAGCTTTTCTCTTCACAAGATGTTAATTGATGGGCTACATTCGTGTTGATTCATTGTGATATTTTTATCAGCTGTTTGGACTCTCATTCTGACGGCACCCATTCACTGCAGAGGATCCACTGGTGAGCATGTGATGTAATGCTAAATTTCTCCAAATCTGTTCCGATGAAGAAACAAACTCATTTTCATCTTGAAATGACCTGAGGGTGAGATAATTTTCAGCAAATTTTCATTTTTGGGTGAACTGTTACTTTAAAATGTCAGTAGCCTAATAAACCTTCTGCCGTCTGTGTCAATAAAGTTAATCAAACAACAAAGGAAAAAAAAATAACTCTACAAAAGTTATGCTCTTGACGGAATAACTTGTATTTTGAATAAGAATCCATTTATATTTATTTTTACATTTGATTATTCAATTTCAGTGATATCTTACTGCATGTTAAATAAACCTACTGCACCTGAAAAGCGTAATTTGTATATTTGTTCTATTGTATTTGTCCTATGTTTGTAATTTGCTTCTTTGTCCTTATTTTCAATAGCAAAAATAAAATAACAAAAATAGCTATATATTGGTATATGTCATTACCATGAAGTGAAATAAGATTTTGGTCGTATCGCCCACTCCTAACACGCATCAAGTGATGCATCAAAATGCATGCATGCATAACAGAAATAACAGTCCTTCTGATGTGGGTGTTAGTCAGTAAGCCAGGGGTTAGACTGTGACGCTTGCATGGCTTGTGCAGGGTTGCGGGTGGCTGACATGCCTGGTGGTGTAAGTGAACAATCTCACCTGCGCTCTGGGATAAAGCCCGGTCAGGATTAGATACAGGTGAAGTTGCAGAGCAGACAGAAAGAGGATTACCCTCCCTGGTCACTGTGCCTGTAAGAGGCTTTCATTCCTCATTCACCCTTTTCTATCGCCATAGCGGCCCAAGCTGCCAGCGCACCCTTGTTCCCCTTGGGGGCCACCAGGACCTGTGGGTCACCTTGGCAACGGGAACAACATGTCACGCAGAGGGCACTGGAAGTCTAGGCGGGGCTCTGTAGGTAATGGGTTTCCAAACATCTGGTGGAGCGGCCACACGTGAGCATGTGAGAACTAGGGATGGGTGGATCAAATATTGATACTTCTGATATTGATGTCACATTGAGATGATTGATCCACATAGAATCGATCCTCATTTAATACCAATGCATTTATTATTTAATTAGCATGAAAATTAATATGCATTAGGGAAAAACTTTTTTAGCAGATAGTGTTGCTCATCACCAGAATGCTGAAAAGTTGTTGATTTTTCATATTTTTTTAAAAGTTTGAGTTTTTTTGTTCTGTTCATTTTTCTCCCATATATATTTATTGACATTTCATTTTGACATTACTAGTAATAAGGAAAACCTGACTTTTATTCATTAGTTTATTATTTTTTCACACAAGAAAGGTTTATAACTCTAATAAAAATAATTAAGCTTTTCTAAATTAGTGTCAATGTCATCTCAATATACCTCTAATCAGACTATGATGAATAAATAAATTATTACTTTTTTTAGTAAAATATTTCACACGAACATTAAACAATATATATATATATATATATTATTCATTAATTATTTTCAGTTGATTTTCCCCCCCAAAAAGGTGTTTAGGCACTTTTTTTAATGTGTAAGAAACATAACGTCAAGTTAATATTTTTTTAAATAAACATACAATTATGCCTTTTACAGAGTTTTTTGATCATTTACATTATTTTTCATGATTGAAAAATCAAGGGACCCTGGACAAACAGAGAGAGCAATGTTTGCCATTCACATGTTAATTTTCTATGATATGACATAGGACTTGAATGACATTTTTTCCTCAGAAATGTATATTTATTAGAGGTTTCAGTACCAATAGGTACTGATATTTGCATTTGAATTGAACAAATAACTGGTATCGCCCATCCCTAGTGGGAGACTGTAGCTGTATGCAATTTGCAAATTAAGAGCCTCCTTGAGCATGAAATATTTTCTGTCTTTGGCTTTTGCTGGGTTATCTATATTAGCCTGTTCACTGTCCTCTTGAACCGGTTCCAGTGCCATTGTGTTGGGGTAGCAGAAAATTCTAGACATCAGAGGAATTTGACACCCATTTGAACAGCATGACCACAGTGACTAATCAGAGTAGTATAATACAGACGGAGAGATGTGCAGTGATATTGCATGGAATAAGAGAGGCCCGCTGAATGAATGCATGTGGTATAAGAGAATACGGCGGGTAAAGTGAGCATGGTTACAAAGGCATAGGGATGAATAATGCAACCAGGGCTATTCATAATTTAAAAGCATGCTACTTTTTAGTGGTGAAAAGCTGGCAGATGGCCAAATGACCACACTGTGCTCAGGGTCAAACTCAGTGATAGGTTCAGACATGACTAATCAGAAGCACATATGTAATTGACATGTTATTTTTTACATGCTTTTAATCATATAAGATAAAATAATACTAAATTTGACTAAAAGTCTTATTGTTTTCTATTTCTATTAAATATATATTTATATTGTATATTTATAATACACTTTATATGCATAATCATGTGGTGAGAGCTGTGTATAAACAAATGCCCACAAACATCAATAAACTGGAGCAACGTTGTAAAGAAGAGTAATTTTCATACAGAAAATTATTACTTCAAGTTATTGCTTCTAAAAGTGAATCTACAGGCAAGTGAATCATAGGGTGTCGTAACTTTGTCACACATAGCTTTTCCATCTTGGCTTTATTTTTGTTAAAGAGCAGGTCATATGGTTTTTTAAAGTGTCCTAATATTGTGTTGGAGTCCCCTACAACAGGTTTAAATGCATCTAAGGTCAGAAAACATTGTAATTTTCTCAGAATATACATTTAATATTAGAGTCATTTGCCAATGATTTCTAAACGGTTCGTTCCAAGCAAGTTCGGAGCAAACCCCTCCGTTTCATAAGCCTACTCTGCTCTGATTGGTCAGCTGGTCAAGCCTGTTGTGATTGGCACAGAGAGGAGTCCTTGAGCAAGTTAGCGAGCGCTACCATTGACAAAGCACCTTTGCATAAAACAATAATATAATATTAGTGCTAACGTGACTAACTGATGAAACAATACAGATTGCAAACCCAAATATGTCTACTGTAATGTTTGAAGAACGACAGACAAAAGACGCTCTGTCTTAACTTTTAGTTATTATTATTATTATTAATATTTTATATTTATGCCTTCTCAATGTAAAGTTGCAAAGTGCAAAATGCAAAGTGATCATTTCCGATTTTTTCATTCGATAATAGCTGCACTACACGAATCAGCTTACGTGTGTTCCGCGCTTCCGTCAAACGATTCCGACACGATATCGATACTTTTCAAGGCCAGTATCGTCGATATCAATACCGATACGATACTTCTAAACTGATTTTTTAAAATTATGAAATTACTAAAAGTAAAATGGGTAATGATAACTTTATATTTGAAACACATTTTAACTTATTAGGTTATATGTTTGTTTACACATGGTTAAAACATGTTTACTGCGGTGGTAACCATGGAAATCTACAAATACTACAGTTGAACTATGGTCACTTTAGTAAAACCATGGTTCATTTTCATAAGGGACTGCCAGTGACAGGCTGTTGCATACATAAAATGCAACCTTTTTATTTTGACAGTGTATGATTTATATTAACGTTACAGAATAGAACATGATCAATATTATCTTTCAAAGTTCAAATTAAATAAATGTAATTGCACAAACTATGTAGGCTACAATTTCAATTTGTTTATTGTGAAATAACTCAAACATATGTTTTTTTCTGTCCTCTGATAAGCATTGTTCTGGGCTGCCGTTCCCAAAATCATCAATGCTTTCTTATGATATTTTGGGAAAAGCAGCCCTGTTTGAATGCACTGTCAGAAGTGAGTAAATGCTCTCCATGATTGATTGATTCTGTCTTGCAACATCTGCGTGTGTTCAGATGAGCAGGAAAATAGTCCTAACCTACACAATTATTCGCTAATATGGGTTATTCGTCCAAGTCGATGCATATTGTACGCATTCATTTTTTGTTAAATAAACAAAGTCACTGGTAAATAAAACACACTTTAGCATCGATATTTTTGTTTGAGAATCGATACTCGCGTCAGTATCGAAATATCGATACTTCAGGATCGATACGCCCATCCCTACTAGCAACATCACTGACCTGTTCAGGGCTTCAAGTGCAGGTCAGTTTCATCTAAATACGCTAGAAAGTTTTGTCTTTATTAACCTAGTTGAGTATTAAACTGCTAGTAGGCTATCTGTTAGGCTATCCGTAGCACCCTATTATTATCATCATTCAGAATACTGTGCTAAAAGACATCAATATCGATTGTAAAGTTACAGATATTCACATGGATTTATTGTACAGGGAGGGAGGGAGCTTGAGCAGACAGCAACACAAAAATAATATTAGTAACAGCCTAATAATTCAATAGTGTATTAGACTTTTTCAACAAATATATTGTAGCCTACTAATTTTGACATTTAGGCACTTTAGAAATGGTGTTTTAATACACTAACAGTCAAAAGTTTTTGAACAGTAAGATGTTTAATGTTTTTTAAAGAAGTCTCTTCTGCTCACCAAGTCTTCATTTATTTGATCCAAAATACAGCAAAAACAGTAATATTGTGAAATATTTTTATTAAAATGTCATTTATTCCTGTGATTTCGAAGCTGAATTTTCTGCATCATTACTCCAGTCTTCAGCGTCACATGATCCTACAGAAATCATTCTAATATTCTGATTTGCTGCTCAAAAACATTTATTGTTATTATTATTATTTTTATGTTGAAAACCCATTCGATTTTTTTTTCAGGTTTCTTTGATGAATAGAAAGTTCAGAAGAACAGCATTTATCTGAAATAGAAATCTTTTGTATCATTATAAATGTCTTTATCATCACTTTTGATCAATTTAAAGCATCCGTGCTAAATAAAAGTAATAATTTCTATAATTATTAGAATTAATAATATAATTAATAATCCCCCAAACAAAAAAATGTATACTGACTCCAAGCTTTTGGTATAGTGCATGTATAATGTTACAAAAGGTTTTTATTTCAGATAAATTCTGATCTTTGGATCTTTCTATTCATCAAAGAATCCTGATGTACTCAACCATTTTAAATATTGATAATAATAACAACAACAAATATGTTTCTTGAACAGCAAATGAGCATATTAGAATGATTTCTGAAGGATCATGTGACACTGAAGACTGGAGTAATGATGCTGAAAATACAGCTTTGATCACAGGAATAAATTACATTTGAACAGATATTCACATAGAAAACAGTTATTTTAAATAGTAAAAATATTTCACAATATTACTGCTCTCGCTGTACTTTGTATCAAATAAATACAGGCTTGGTGAGCAGAAGAGGCTTCTTTAAAAAACAAAAAATCTTACTGTTCAAAAACATTTGACTGGTAGTGTACATTTGTATGAAATATAGGTTTATTAAATCTAGTGTATTTAAGTCATTTTAAGATAAACAACATTCTTTGCTAACAAATTGAAATGAGGTGAATGTTTTCAACAAGGTGAAGAAGTGACAGGTAAGAAAAGGGGGGGCAGAGATATTGGGGAAATTGACTAAGAATGACGGCCCCAGACTAAGGATTTAGACCTTTATTTTATGTGATGCCATACAAATAATAGGGTTGTCTGTGGTTTCAGAAATTGCCGTGGATGTATAGGCTATATACAGGAAATAAGGGGCCAAAAATTTTACCTTTTGGGGTACAACAGCTTGTCACATGGAACAGGACCCTTAAAAGAACATATTTGTTCCTTTTTTACCCCTAATAGGTAGGCCTACAAATTAGTACCTTAAGGGTACGAATTACTACTCTTAAGGTGCTAATATGTGGTGTACTGCTACAGTGTCAAGCTGTTGCACCCCAAAAGGTACAATTTTGGCCACTTTTTTCTGTGTGGCCTGGATGAGTGTGAGATTTCCCGGCCTGAAATTGCGTCCCAGTCCGGCCCTGCACACAAC